TTATTTTTTTGGACTGGGATGAAACCCCCTGTTAGAACTACCGCATATAATATCAAAAGCACTTTATATAATGATAGATATACATAATATAATGACATATCTACATCATATAATGAGAGAAGTACTGCATATAATGGAAGTTGTACACGATATAATGTAAAACCTACTTCCTATAATTAAACTAGTACCGCATATAATTAAAATAGTACCGCATATAATAAAGGAAACACTGCATATAATGTTTAATCCTCATATAAGACAGTCTTGGCGTTCCATAGTGACCGAATAGGTTTAATTTGTCATCATTATTCAATGAAATGACTTTATGTATGGAGAGGAGATAAACTATTCCTTCCTCCCGGCTGTCTTAGGGTGGAGTGAATTATTATGGGTGTTTGGCGCCAAGCATGCGTATTTGGTTCAAAACTAGTAAAAAAAACACAACACTTCTCACACTAAAATATCAACCAATCATACACCTTCAAGCCGCACCCATTCTGACACAAACACCTTTGACCTTTCACTCTCTCAAACCAACCAATAGGCATTTAACCCCATGAATATCAATGAATGACTGAGCACATTGTAAATTCCAGAGGACTGTAATTTACTATGCCGTATAGGTGAAGATGATTATGATGATGGTAATGAAATGATTAGTATATTAGGTCACAAATCAATAATACATTATATATATATAGTATTTATTATAATATTAATTTATTCACCCTGTGACATTAATAAATTAAATCACTAATATATACATTTGTGGTATCTTTCCACTATATAAACACACAGAGAGATAATGTCTTCAATTCTGTATGAAGTTTGTCGGAGGTCAAAGGTCAATACATGACCGAATCACACGGCGGAATAATATCTACCGTTACTTATAAATATAAAATAAAATGACTTGCTTTTCATGTATACATAAAGATGAACAAAATAAGCAATTGAAATAATTGTTTTATTTACAACGTGAACAAATACTTCATACATTTTTGGCGATCGATTTAACCTGTGTACCTAGAGAATATACCGATAGAATCTAATGTTAGCCTTTGTTTACACGTTGTACATGTATGTCATTTTTGTCAACTGCACAGTCTCTAACTTTTTAGTGTATCCTTATTTTTGTTAGACCTTAAGTTAAATCTTCATGATATAGGCCAAAACTATATTTTTTTCAAAAAATTCTACTCACGATAAATATGTAAATCTATTGGAAAATATCAAAGCATTACAATCACGCCACGAACAGCTGAGAAACACCTCGATCTGCGCTGTCGTGCTTCAATGTAAACTGTCGACGGACAGTGTCTCCGTGTTAACATAATAAATGTACCTTTAGTTACTGAAATCGTAGATTAAACGTTTTTGATCAAAATTAATACTTGATTGCAAATTAACTGGCTTGGACAAGTGTCTCAATCCATCGGATCCATCCAGGCGACCGAAATTCCTCCAACTTTTCATCATCAATTCTCGGACGTGTTTCCTGTGTCTTTTCTGCATTTATGATCATTTTTCACAAATAAATATATTCCCAGACAAAAATCTATTCACTATTACTGATCACAAGTAGCCTTTAACAAAATATTCCCTTCGAAATAGCATGACGAATTCGAAGCGTAACCGCCGTTCAAGCCGATTTACACCCTGCGTACTTTGACGGAAATCTACGGGCGATCGGTTAGTGCAACATTTATATCCGAATATATTTAATTTAATATTTAATTGTCCATCTCAAATGTATATATAAGTAATAAATAACAAGTTTATAAACTTCAATGGGAATTGAAGTGGGTCGGTACGTGATCAAATCTTCTGAGAAGGCCTTCGGCCTTCACAGGATTTGATCGCGTGACCGACCCACTTCAATTCCCATTGAAGTTTATAAACTAGATTTTTATTTCTTAATTGAAAAAATGGACCCATGCATCCCTTATACATACTATCATGATGAATTTTGTGATTTTATTTTGAAACATAACTTTAATTTAATCGCATTTCTGTGTAAAATCCCAAATTTGAAATGTTTTATTCATACATGCTGCTATGGGATACAGCCACAATAAGAAAATAAAAAGAGCAAAAAATGCTGGCATTTACACGGGGTTGCTTTTATTATTTCTGACTTAAGAGTTAAATCAGAGTCATGAATTTTAAGAAATAGTGTTAGCTCTGCTAATGTTATACCCACTTACAAACTATGACCAGGGCTTGACCAGTAGCCTGGATCCTGGTATACTTCCCGTCATGCCTCTACGGATAACGAAAAACAGGGTATAATCGACGGACATCCAGCGCACGCGTATTATATCATGTTGTGGGAGACATGCTTTATAATCCTGTAGCAGGGCATTCTATCAAACAGACAGACCACGGACGCTCTTGATAATAATTCGGTAAGACTTTAATTAAGGAAGGATTCTTATCTGATTTCGGACTAGATGAAATATTCAAAGTATATTGCTTATAATACGTCTAATACATTAAGCCGTGGAAATGGTAAACTGGGTTTGAGATAAAGCAAGGACTTTATTTTTGGCAGAATTGCAGCGTATGAAAATATGTTCTTTTCTGTTTCGCAAAATTACTATTGAACAATGAACTTACTAATAATTTTTACACAGTTAAAGACTTGAAGAATTTTTCAAAATTTGTAAAATTGATAATAAGGGACATTTTTTTTCTTAAATTTATAAAATGTATATGATTTTCCATTCAAACTACAGTTATGTTTTAACTTTTAAAGACTCCAATCTTGGTACGATCTCGAGTCAAAATCAATTAAAAAGAAGTATTCTATCTCTCTAAATAAACGATAAAAACTTTGTTTTTGTATCTTTATAAGGCTACTTTACTACTGTAATATGTGAAAATAAGAAAAGTTTTAATATAGGAAGCATAAAAAACAAATATATCCTTATAATATAAGGAAAATATAGAAAATTCGGATTAGCCAATATCAAGTTTTAGTTAAATTATTTATGTAAATATTGCTCAGATTGTAATTGGGATAATTTTAATGAAATTTGGCAACCAATATTAGACGCATTATAATCATTATTTCAGAATTTATTGGTTTTTTTTTTTCAAATATACCATGCTATTAAATTAAGTGTTAAAATCAAAATGTAATTTCACCTGTAATACATTTCTTTGTAGAAACACTGAACATTTCATATGTATAAATTTTGTAGATAGTAAGCTCCACAACAATTTTTAATGTCTTGTAAGATGTAGATAGATGTTATTGTCTATAGTTATATTTGTTGCATGCTTTTTAGGTCACCTGAGTAACTAAGGTGACCTATTGCTATCCGTTTTCGTCCGTCGTCCGTCGTGTGTTAACATTTGAAGATTTTCAGCTTCTTCTCTGAAACCATTGAACAAATTTCAACAAAATTTGATGCACAGCATCTATGGGTGAAGGGAAACAAAATTGTGAATTTTATGGTCCCCCCCCTGGGGCTTGAGGGGTGGGGCCAAAACCACCAAAATTACTGCAATCTTTAAAAATCTTCTTTACTCCTGGACATCAAGCCGGCAAACTGTTGGCATGAATGTAATAAACATGGAGTCCTCTACTTAAATTGTGAAATTCATGACCCCAGGGTCAGGGGTTCTTGTGCTAGGGTGGGGCTATATAAATTATATAGTGAAAATGCATTATTTCTTTGAAAATCTTCCTCTCTGCTTCTGGGTATTAAATAAAATAATTAAGTACATAGTTATGATGAGCAAGAGTGCTACTTCCAAAATTGTGAATTTTATGGCCCGGGGTCAGAGGTTCTTGTGTTAGGGTGGGGCTCTATTGATCATATTGTGAAAATGCATTAATTTTTGAAAATCTTCTTCTCTGCTCCTGGGTATTAAATAAACTTACTAAAAACATAGTTATGATGAGAAAGAGTGCTTCTTCCAAAATTGTGAATGTTATGGCCCCAGGGTCAGGGGTTCTTGTGTTAGGGCGGGGCTCTATAGATGATATAGTGAAAATGCATTTATTCTTTGAAAATCTTCTTCTCTGCTTCTGGGTATTAAGGGGAGACAGGACACATGTCACATGACTAAAAAGACATATCACGTCATAATCGGTGATGATATACATGTTACATAACGTTAAAATCAACAGTTCTTGTGTAATTTTATTCTAAATTCTAAAAAAAATTTTAAAACATTTAATTTTAGAAATATTTATTAATAAAATTCTTAAAGATCTTGCCATCATTTAGATATTGTGAAGTGGCCCAATCCACACATTTGTTTCTCTTTAACCTGCAGTCTGACGTCAGTGACGTCATAGACGTAGTGTTTGAATTCTCAGTGCAGCGAGATCAAGTACATACACCCGTCATGATCAGTTTTATTTCATAATAAACAGGTCACAGTCAATGTATCGTGATAAATTTCTGAAGCAGATTTTTTAAAGTTAATATTTTTTCGTGTTTAGTGGCCGAGATTCTCTCTATTTAGATAATTATGAATGTTTATATTTTCGTGTGACGTCACAATTGATTTCCCGCACTCGGAAAATACAAACATGAAGCGTTTTTATCATGCTTACGTCTAATTCAACGATGTCCTGTGCGATATTGAGCTAAGCTTCACCCTGTGATATTTACGCAGTAAATATTTACGATGAAGGACTGACATTCAATCGTAAATTTAGAAATATTTATTGACAGAATTTTTTCCAAATGAGGTTTTTGTCGTTGAAGCTGCCTTGAAGAATGCAGAAATTATCCCACCCAAATACTATATAAAATTAAAACAATTGCTTTCAGATAATTTAAACACTATGAATGTTATGAAATATTTGAGAATATAGTGTTATCTATCATATTTATCGTTTGTGCGTAAAAATTCGCATTATGGACTCCGTTATTGGCCCATAAACATGAAGTATCTAAACTCCATACAGACTCTAAATAGGGCGGTATTTGTGGGGCGATATCTTTTAATAAGTCAAGAAACCCCATGACAGGACCGTTTTAAAATGTTAAAGCTGACATGAATTCTTAAAAACGCAACATTTTCATCTATGTACGACTTGTTTCATACCAACTATAGCCGTATTCCGCCATATTTCTTTCAGATACATTGTCTCATTGTAACGATATATACCCCAAAGCGCTCGTTACACTTGAATGATTTTTTGGTTTGGGTATCGACTTGTGCACATCTCCGATGGTAAAGCATATGAGAACACATGAGGTGAAGACATTTCAAAACTACAATAAACTGCATGATCATCATATTTCTGAATAATTATTGATTTGAATCAAAAGAAAAAAATGCAAGTGTGGAAGAGAAATTTAGATGCACGAATATTTTTACAGTGCGCCAATTTATGCAGAATAAACTTGAAATAAATAGCAGTAAAATGTGCAAACACATTTTGAAATTATATCATTTAAATGGAACAAAACGACCAACGTCTTTGATTTGCAGCTCCTATGCAATTGATGCATATCGAGAAAACGCCTCGAACGCTGTAAACGTACCCATACCTGGTAATAGGTTACTGCATCGGTTCGAAGATGTGCACAAGTCAAGTGATATACACTCTGAATTCCATTTATTGAAATATGCATCACAAAAAAGAAATAAACTCCGTAAAAGCTCAATAGTAAACAGGTAAACACACTGTCATTACTCCGTACAGACTAGCAAGTCGATACACTTAGTCCGTGCTGATCAGAATTTGGTCAGGGAAAATATCACAAGTGGAATGAGAAGTTATTTGGTATTTGCGCGGCTGTTCAAGGGGGGGGGGGGGTATTATAACTGCTGTTCATAAGCTATAATTGTGAATTGTCTATCTACATGTAGTTCTAATATACATTCTCTACAAAGTCATGTGTATAGTCTGCAGTTGGTTTGCGTCGCAAAATTCATTTTTCAATTATAACTGATTATTTTAGTACAAATCTCAAATCTAAACCAAGTAATTTGATGTACGGTAATTATTTACTTCAAATCTTAAAAGCAATTAACCAGAATAGAATTTTTTTTTATGTGTACATCTATACGCTCTTTAACACACAAACACACGGAGAAAGGCCATCCCCTGTCCAGATTCACATTTAGGCATTTGATTTTTTTTAGGGGGGGGGGCGTTATTTAAATATTCTTGGAAGAAAGACATTTCTACCGAATTCAATTTTGAGATTTTTTTTTAAAATGTGTCACCCCGACCACAAAGTATGTGCATTTTGAGAAATGTAACTGTTTTATAATTATGCTGTTATAGAGAGTCTTTCGAGATTTCAGTATCCCTGCTTGATAGTCTAGCTATTTTTTTAAATATAAAAATAATTTCTGTAGGAATATTTGGGAGATAAGCTAGGGTAGGGATACTTGACACTGGTTGAATACGGATTTTTTTTAATTTACTATTTTGTATATTGAACTCTCTCTCTCTCTCTCTCTCTCTCTCTCTCTCTCTCTCTCTCTCTCTCTCACTCTCACTCTGTAACCATCCGTAAGGGCAATGATAGGTATAAGATCCTACGCATTTTGTGCTGTACCATTTATTTAGCCTTAGGACAGATCAAGGATTTTTTTCAGGCGGGATGTCGAAACTTCATAAATTCAATAATTTTAATTTGGACAAGAAGTTAATCCAAACGCCCAATATGAAAGGGAAACTAGAGATATTGTGAGCAATGAGCTCACTAAATGATACCCCCGCCTTCCCATATGGTTATAATGGCAAAGTCCATATTTTGCTGTTGTCGCTAAAATACGTGTCGGGTCAAAAAGTAAAATAGGAGGTGCACAATGGTAATATGTAATAAACCTAAGATTCTGTGGAAGTTTCATTAAATTTCACTAAGTGTTATAAGAAGATTTGCGGATAAGAGATGGGTACCCCAAAGCGTAACAGACAGACGGACGGACATAACGATTACTATATACCCTCCAACTTTTCAAGCGGGGGATATAATGAACGTGAAATATACATCACATGAATGGGAACATTGGGCACTTTCTCAAATACCTTCTCAAACGCATAGGCGTCGGAAGCAAATTGAAAGTGTAGGGGCTAAGTGCAATGAATTTTTTTTCATACATTCAAGAAAATCTGACAAGCTTAAAAAATAAAAAGGAAAATTAATGCCCTTTTCCAAAACGCGAAAATTCTATTTCGGGGGGTGGGGGGGGTGAGGGGGGGTAGATTCGCATTTAAAATTGTTCTCCAAACACCAACACTTTCCTTTTTTCTTTTAAACCTATGCTGCGACTTGTCTTTGGAAATTGGGGGGGGGGGGGGCTAAACCTACGCAGCAATGTTCAATGTTTATGCTACATGTAAGTATATATTTGTAAAAAAAAAAGCCCCCCCCCCGGTTCCGACGCCTATGCTCAAACGTACGTGTCGAACCTAGACCTAGACAACAGACAAGTGAATTTTTAAAAAGCTAATTCTAGGGAGTATGTGGAATTCTCACGGAGTGTTTTCTGTCTCTATATTTATATCTATATGCTTTTTCTAATAATCATTAATTAACTATGTCTAGAAATTTAATTCACATTAAATTATATTCTATTTTCATTATTATTGTACCACAGAATCAAACTCGTTTATTATACCCCTCGCAACAAGTTGCTTGAGGTATAATGTTTTTGACCCCTCAGTCAGTCTTTTTTTTTTTGGTCAGCGCAACTTCTCATAAACCACTGCACAGAGTTTTGTCAAACTTTGCAGATATTTATAGGAGACAATATGTGGATTAGCACATCACCAGGAAATTCCGAATTCTTTATTTTATCGGGAATTTCCGCACTGTTACATTTAGATTTTGGCCATATCTTGAATATAGAGATGAGCAGTTTGTCAGCGCAATTCCTCATAAACCGCTGCAAACAATTTCGTCAAACTTTGCAGATATTTAGGACACAATGTGTATAGATGTACATATTACAAGGAAACAGCACTTCGACTTTCGGGGGAGCGTGAGGTATGTGAACTTGCTCACTTTTTCTTCCAGGCATTGTGTATAAAATTATAAATCACTTTGAATAAAATTATATTAGGTCTAATAAAGCCAATACACAGTATTCATTTGATAATAATTAATCATAAATAAACCAATCTGTTTCAGACGTTTTTATTAAATTATTTTTATGAGAATGTTAATATGCATGTTTTACCCCCCCCCCCCCCCCATCACAGGAAAATATCTTTAAAAGGTGAATGATTCATAATAATGCATGCTTTATTACAGATTTAATGAAGTTAAACCATGTAATCATAAATTTTATATATAACATTTACATACAAGAGTAATGTTTATTTTTGAAAATATTACTTGCATTTTTTTCAATCAACCTCACTGAGCTTTCAACCTTTGATATTTTCCCTGACCAAATAAAATGATCGGCATGGACCACGTGTGTCCAAGCATCTTTTACTGTTGAGTTAGCAGTGGATTACATGACTTCTGAGATGCATTTTTGAATAAAAGTAAAATTGGATAATTCTTTCGACATGTGCACATCCCTGTAACGATAGCAGTATATTCAGGTAAATGTTTTATCACTGCGTTTGACGCGTTTTCTCGACTTGCATGGGTTTTTCCTGTACATGAATGTATTCCGTGTTAGTGTATTTTCTATATTGCAGCAAATGCATTCAAAAATAATTCAATTCTCGGTATAATTCTATTTTTTGTTGAATTCTTTCTTTTCAAACATGTATTTGGTCAGTTTATGGACTTCTAAAAACTATGCTATCGGAGATGTGTACATGTCGACAGCCAGGCTAGAAAATCACTCAAGTGAAACAGTTCTACAGGGCTATATATAGCAGGTACAGGTGGCCAAAAATCTTCGATTAAATATGGCGGAATCGAACAAATATGTCGGACAAAGGCGTACAGGAATGTAGTAAGTCGTACAAAGATGAAAACTGATGCCTTTTTAAGAGTTCATGTCAGCTTTAAGTACATATTAAATAAGTAATATAAAAAATACGAAAAAAATTCATTGACAGGAATTTTTTCAGCTAAAGGTCCTGTTCCTCCTTAAATAAAATAACTAAGTACATAGTTATGATAATCAAGAGTGCTTCTTCCAAAATTGTGAATTTTATGGCCCCAGGGTCAGGGGTTCTGGTGTTAGGGCGGGGCTATATTGATTATACTACTAGTATAGTGAAAATGCATTTATTCTTTAAAAAAAACTTCTTCCCTGCTTCTGGGTATTAAATAAACTAAGTACATAGTTATGATGAGAAAGAGTACTTCTTTCAAAATTGTGAATTTTATGGCCCCAGGGTCAGGGGTTCTGGTGTTAGGGCGGGGCTCTATTGATTATATAGTGAAAATGCATTTATTCTTTGAAAATCTTCTTCTCTGCTTCTGGGTATTGAATAAGCTAACTAAACACATAGTTATGATGAGCAAGAGTGTCTCTTCCAAAATTGTGAATTTTATGGCCCCAAGGTCAGGGGTTTTGGTATTGGGGCGGGGCTCTATTGATTATATAGTGAAAATGCATTATTCTTTGAAAATCTTTTTCTTTGCTCCTGGGTTTTATGCCAATGATCCAAATATATACATATTCAAGCTGCATCTAGCAAAATCTTTATCTTTTTATGCCCGCTGGGTCGGGGGGGGGGGTTTACATAGTATGAAAATAAATTAATGCTCTGAAATCTGCTCTTTAGTATTAATCAACCATTTTATAAAAATTTGCAAAATTTTGAAATATGTGGCCCCAGGGTCAGTTGTTCATTTGGGGTGAGGTGCACAACTGGTTATAAAGTGGAAGTGCATTTTCTCTTTATTACTCTTATCTACCTCTGGGTATTACGTAAATAGAGTAAGCAAGCTAGGTTAATAATTATGATAAGCAATGGTGCCTCTTTCAAAATTGTGAATTGTGAATTTCATGGCCAATTTTAATTGTTTGAAAGTTGTTACACGATACTCAGGTGACCTATAAGACCCGTGTGCCTCTTGTTATTTTATAACATTATATATCAAAAAAGAGGCAATAAAAAAAATGAATAAAAAATATTATTTCTGTCAATCTGGTAATATCATCTTATACTCGTACATGTTAGTATCATTTTTTTATGCAAAAAGAACATCTAATCTTTCAAAATAGAATTAGGCATGGTTGGCAACAGTATGCGAGATATTTTCCTTGTATTAAATTTATCCATGCAGAGAGAAAGCCTCCATACAGTCCTTTCACAGCAGCCAAGCGAATGTCGGTACAAGAAAAATGAAGCTGGCGTTTGTGTTCGTGGTGGTGTTGGCGCTTGCTCGCTCCTCGTCGGCTCAATACAGTACTTGGCAGAGCTACTATTCGGCCCTCTATATCAGAATAGGACAGATTAAAGCCAAAATCATCTCTCTCACAAGCAACGTTAACGCCTGTTCATGTGACATCGCACTAAAAGGTAAGACTCACACACTGTAAATACGTTCAAAGCAAACTAAAATCAGAACAGTATACAGTAATTCGCTCAAAGCAAACTAAAATCAGAACAGTTAACAGTAATACGCTCAGAGAAAACTGAAATCAGAACAGTATACACAGTAACACGCTCAAATCAACATAAAATCAGAACAGTAAACAGTAATACGCTCAGAGCAAACTAAAATCAGAACAGAATACACAGTAACACGCTTAAATCAACCTAAAATCAGAACAGTAAACAGTAATACGCTTAGAGCAAACTAAAATCAAAACAGTAAACAGTAATACGCTCAAATCAACCTAAAATCAGAACAGTAAACAGTAATACGCTCTGAGCTAACTAAAATTAGAACAGTATACACAGTAACATGCTCAAATCAACCTAAAATCAGAACAGTAAACAGTAATACGCTCAGTGCAAACTAAAAACAGAACAGTATACAGTAATTCGCTCAAAGCAAACTAAAATCATAACAGTATACAGTAATTCGCTCAAAGCAAACTAAAATCAGAACAGTATACACAGTAATACGCTCAGAGCAAACTAAAATCAGAACAGTATACACAGTAACACGCTCAAATCAACCTAAAATCAGAACAGTAAACAGTAATACGCTCAAAGCAAACTAAAATCAGAACAGTATACACAGTAATACGCTCGGAGCAAACTAAAATCAGAACAGTAAACAGTAATACGCTCAGAGCAAACTAAAATCAGAACAGTATACAGTAATTCGCTCAAAGCAAACTAAAATCAGAACAGTATACAGTAATTCGCTCAAAGCAAACTAAAATCAGAACAGTATACACAGTAATACGCTCAGAGCAAACTAAAATCAGAACAGTATACAGTGATACGCTTAAAGCAAACTAAAAAAGAAAAAAAAATAAATATTACTTTACAAAAGTGTTTTCTGCAGAACTAGAGGTTCGTTCGATAATCAATAAACATTTTACAGGCGATTAAAAATTTGACTTAAGTCTAAGTCTGTTTCATGATCCTGTGACCAGATGCAGTAAATCACATTGAAAACAACGGAAACGCTTCACATCCTTAAGACCATATAACCTCAGTTATAGTTAACACACCAGTTAATGGTAAACTGAACATCCTTAACGGATAATTGAGTATTTTTTACTCAATAAGAATATTTGTAAACAGTAAACAGTAATACGCTCAGAGCAAACTAAAATCAGAACAGAATACACAGTAACACGCTTAAATCAACCTAAAATCAGAACAGTAAACAGTAATACGCTCAGAGCAAACTAAAATCAAAACAGTATACAGTAATACGCTCAAATCAACCTAAAATCAGAACAGTAAACAGTAATACGCTCTGAGCTAACTAAAATTAGAACAGTATACACAGTAACATGCTCAAATCAACCTAAAATCAGAACAGTAAACAGTAATACGCTCAGTGCAAACTAAAAACAGAACAGTATACAGTAATTCGCTCAAAGCAAACTAAAATCAGAAGAGTATACAGTAATTCGCTCAAAGCAAACTAAAATCAGAACAGTATACACAGTAATACGCTCAGAGCAAACTAAAATCAGAACAGTATACACAGTAACACGCTCAAATCAACCTAAAATCAGAACAGTAAACAGTAATACGCTCAAAGCAAACTAAAATCAGAACAGTATACACAGTAATACGCTCAGAGCAAACTAAAATCAGAACAGTAAACAGTAATACGCTCAGAGCAAACTAAAATCAGAACAGTATACAGTAATTCGCTCAAAGCAAACTAAAATCAGAACAGTATACAGTAATTCGCTCAAAGCAAACTAAAATCAGAACAGTATACACAGTAATACGCTCAGAGCAAACTAAAATCAGAACAGTATACAGTGATACGCTTAAAGCAAACTAAAAAAGAAAAAAAAATAAATATTACTTTACAAAAGTGTTTTCTGCAGAACTAGAGGTTCGTTCGATAATCAATAAACATTTTACAGGCGATTAAAAATTTGACTTAAGTCTAAGTCTGTTTCATGATCCTGTGACCAGATGCAGTAAATCACATTGAAAACAACGGAAACGCTTCACATCCTTAAGACCATATAACCTCAGTTATAGTTAGCACACCAGTTAATGGTAAACTGAACATCCTTAACGGATAATTGAGTATTTTTTACTCAATAAGAATATTTGTAAACATGTAACTTTTGTGGATAAAAATACAATTTTTATTCCCACGTAATCGAAGAGTAGGATGTATATAGTTTTTTTTTTGACTGTCCGTCCATCTGTATGTAAGTATGTATGTATGTATGTATGTATGTATGTATGTATGTATGTATGTATGTATGTAAGTATGTATGTATGTATGTATTTCATGTGTTTGTCCGCAAAAATTTAACGTAAGTCACGATTTTTTTAGTGGATGCAAAATAAAGATTCGAGTAAGCACGATTTGTAAACACTCAAGAGGACAAAAAACACAAAAATACACAGCAATCATATACAAAACACAAAAATACACAGCAATCATATACAAAACACAAAAATACACAGCAATCATATACAAAACACAAAAATACACAGCAATCATATACAAAACACAAAAATACTCAGCAATCATATACAAAACATAAAAATACACAGCAATCATACAAAACACAAAAATACACAGCAATCATACAAAACACAAAAATACACAGCAATCATATACAAAACACAAAAATACACAGCAATCATATACAAAACACAAAGATACACAGCAATCATACAAAACACAAAAATGCATAGCAATCATACATATACAAAACACAAAAATACACAGCAATCATATACAAAACACAAAAATACACAGCAATCATATACAAAACACAAAAATACACAGCAATCATATACAAAACACAAAATACACAGCAATCATATACAAAACACAAAAATACACAGCAATCACATACAAAACACAAAAATACACAGCAATCATATACAAAACACAAAAATACACAGCAATCATACAAAACACAAAAATACACAGCAATCATATACAAAACACAAAAATACACAGCAATCATACAAAACACAAAAATACACAGCAATCATATACAAAAAACAAAAAAAACACAGCAATCATATACAAAACACAAAAATACACAGCAATCATACAAAACACAAAAATATACAGCAATCATATACAAAACACAAAAATACACAGCAATCATATACAAAACACAAAAACACACAGCAATCATATACAAAACACAAAAAATATACAGCAATCATACAAAATACAAACATACACAGCAATCATACAAAACACAAAATACACAGTAATCATATACAAAACACAAAAATACACAGCCATCATATACAAAAAACAAAAAAACACAGCAATCATATACAAAACACAAAAATACACAGCAATCATACAAAACACAAAAATACACAGTAATCATATACAAAACACAAAAATACACAGCAATCATATACAAAACTCAAAAATACACAGCAATCCTTTACAAAACACAAAAATACACAGCAATCATATACAAAACACAAGAATACATAGCAATCATATACCAAACTAAAACAAATAAATAAAAGATATACTAGATATTGAGTCTGGTCGAAACAGAGATCATAAGTAATTTGAATTATATCTCCCTTGCATCAGGTTGCCATATCTGACATCAACTGTAACTACAAAAAATTACAAGAGACAACGCTCCATGATATGCACGTTTAATTTTCTCTTATGATGACGTCAATTTGTGAACTGAATAATTCTGATTGCATGAAGAGATTAAAGAAAATGTTAATTACCTTTCTAGAAGCATAATAACATGTATTATACAATTATTTAATGCCTGAGCAGTCAATAGACCAGAATATTTTTCCCGAGGTGCAGGGAACAGCTCAGTGTGTTCAATAGAACACACTGAGCTGTTCCCTGCACCGAGGGAAAAATTTTCTGTTCTATTGACTGTTAAGGCATTAAATAATTGTTTTATTACCTAATTTTATTTTCCGTATTAAGTGTTCACAATATTGTATATTCAGTACAGAAGGTTCCCGTACCATATTGTAAATATATACCTAGATATGGTGCATCTTTAATAGTAGTTAAAGATTGATTGAATAGACTATTGTTTACATTCCTCTCGAAAATTTTTCACTCATATGGAACCACCACTTGCCGGTGGAGAGGGACCTTTTTCGTGCCAGCAGTGCACCTACTGCGACGCGGGACCTCGGTTGATAGGTCTCACCCAAAGGACCGGTCATTGTATTAATTAAAAGTAACTCTCATTAAATAAAATATCCGACCATTGAAATCACACAATTTTTAAAACCAATGTCGAAAGATCGAATAAGATGATTGTTTACCATGTCTGTGCAGTGTTACAAACAACTAAATTTGAAACCCGGATCGTTTTTTTTCCGAAATACGTTACCGGTCAATAGAACGTGCAGTCTATTGACCGGGCAATAGATCGCAGTCTACTGACCGGGCAATAGATCGCCAGTCAGTAGATCGGTTTGAAAAGATAAGAAAAACTGAAAACACATACAGAATAGACGAAAATATTAAATCTATAATAAAACAACAAAATTCACTGATTAGGTAATAAAAGTAAATATCTAATTAATGATACTTTTGAGATGTATGTGAACACATGTATAATATCATTTTACATATATTCAGGTGAAAAGGGAGATTTAGGTGACACGGGGCCGACTGGTCCCAACGGACCTGCAGGGCCAAAGGGAGATAAGGGTGAACCCTCCACAGACAAAGGAGACCCCGGGGCACCGGGGTCAGTTGGTGCTGAAGGCCCAGCCACACTAGGATCGCTGGGGCAGAAAGGTATACCTGGCGATACTGGACCTAAAGGACTTCAGGGAAGTAAGGGAGGTAAAGGAACCAAGGGAGACGTTGGCTACCCAGGCCTTAAAGGAAGCAAGGGCACGAAGGGGGCTAAAGGATCTAAAGGCGTCACGGGGAATGCAGGCGAGACTGGTCCAACAGGGGATAAAGGGGACGCTGGTGGCACAGGGGACAAAGGAAGTCAGGGCTCTAAAGGGGACAAGGGAGAAGTGGGCGCTCCTGGAGAGAAGGGGGAAATTGGATTTGTATTGTAGATACTGTCGTGGAGAAGGGAGACTATAGATTTGAAAGACAGTTCTCAGGCACTTCTATCCTCCAATCCTTCAGCATCGAGTGATAAAGATTTTTTTGTCCATTCTGTTTAAAAATGAGCAAAGACTTTCATTGCATTCTACATGTATGTGAAAATCTCGATGGATCTCATTTGAACTTGGGGAGAATAAAATGCCCGATATTAAATCTAACAATGTAAAAGTGTGTGAAATTAAATAAATATTTAAAGCTGTTTCCTTCCTTTATTTGGTATTATATCATGTTCTACCTGCCAACATTTGTTTATGCTAAAGCCTTTTGATTTACTGCGTCACAACTTTCACCGTTTACAATTTACTGGTATTAAAGTATTTTCACAATTTACTGCATATTGAACTCATTTTTTTGGATGCTGAGGTGGGATTTATGTACTTACATGTAGTATCTAAATTTAAATTTACAAATAAGTAATGCATTTATAAACTAGGAGACTTATTGTTCACAGAACAATAAGAGGTCTTTCCACCTTCTTTGAATTTCAATTTCATTTAATATTTATCTCTTTAAAATTAAATTTCATCAAAATAAAAAAAAAATAGGAATGGCTTAAAAGAAGAAAAAAAATAAAAAAATTTTGAGGTGACCTTGACCTTTGACTTTCAAGTAATATTAAAGGTCAAAGGTCAAGGGTCACATTGCAATTATGACTTAAAGATTTAAAGTTACAAGGTTTTATGGTAAGCACAAAAGCATTAAAGGGCAGTAACTCATTCAAGAAGTCACCAATCCTTTCGCACTTGAACATAAAAGTTGTGCCTAAAATCCCTTAAGACATTAGTGAAGGTTTCATGTCTCTGCGGTTTACGGTTTCAGAGAAGTAGCAATAACGGGTCATTTTCAAAAAAAGTCCATTTTTTGAATGACATATTTTTGAAAAATGAAAGTGGTTTTCCTATGATTTTTCAACTTTATTTGAATAATACAGTAATAAACTACTAAAATCCACTGCATTGCATAAAAGAAAATATTTCTTTTAAAAAATATTGACATTTTATCTTAGTCATTTAAACTTTAATGTCCTTCCTGTTACTTTCATAAAAAGAGCTGTAAAACTCTATTTCAAAATTTTCATCAAATAATCTATTGTATATCGTTAAAAAGGGGAAAAAAATATAATTGAATGCCGAGATGTCTGACATTCATCTAATATATGAGCGTTTAAAAGCATGTCAAACTACCATATACCAAATAGAAGCAAAATCTACGGGTTTCTCTTCATGAAAAGCCTTATTGCAGAGTGTTTATATGCTATAGTTGAAAAAAACATTCTTGTACATTATTTTTATGATTAGAATAAACAATTACAGAAAGTTATTTAAACATGTGCTCTGCCAAAGCAATTTAAACTAGGAAAATATACTGGTAACAGTAAGGACTCGGGTAACAGGAAGGACAAAACAGTAACAGGATGGACCAAACAGTGTAACAGGATGGACAATGAAATCTACATTTTAAATAAAAATTGACTTTTTTAAACTTTATTGGTTAAGAAAAGAGAAAGAAATGTAGAATAAAAACATAATTTTGTCAAATCTGGCAAATTCAAGACAATAAAAGACATTTATGTCCATCCTGTTACAAAATTTAATGGTAAAGTGCTATTAAAATATTTATCACTTCAATTTTTGTTTATTTAAGGTACTCTATGCTGTTGCAAAACTAAGAATTTTTCATAATTTTAAGAAAAACAAATGATAAAACTTCAATAGATATATAAATACCAGGATAATTTGTCCCTCCTGTTACAATTTCTGTCCATTCTGTTACAAGAGTGCATGTTTAAGTTATAATGGTACTATTTGAAGCACAAACAAATTTCAATATGATTTATAAAGTTTTTTAACATGTGTTATTAAACTTATATTACTTAGAAAAATAAAAGTAATTGTTTTTATTGTTAAAACTCAAGTCCAGTTTTCCTTACTGTTACCATATTAATGGTAACAGGAATGACAGTAACAGGATGGACGTTTCTCATATAAATTACCAGTTAGTTAGTATAACGTACTCTTTTTGCATCATTGAGACACTGAAACCATTTCTTTGTAATTTAGTTAATCTAATTGTTCTAGCAGAATAAACAATTTAAAGAGTACTTGCATAATATGAAGGTAACAGATAGCACGTATTTTAATTATACTCTACCAATAAGACAAACTTATCGACCTTTGAACCCTTTCTTTACTCACTTTCAAATCATGGCGCTCATAAACTTGAGACAACAGAAAATGATGATATAATGTGGATCATGAAAACAGTTCCTAGGAAAGTGAGATAACTTTTATTTTAACATTTTCTTTTTGGTAGGAGGAATGACATAAACTTGTAGGACATGTCACTTCCTGAATGTTAAATGCACAATACTCGTATTTAGTGGGCGGCATAAGTAAAACAATCATATTAAATTAATCTGTAAAAGAATTCAATTAATATGAGGTGCAAAATTTGTACATATCTTCACAGGGTAATATTTTCCCCATCATTGAACTAAGCACGTTATAAAATTTTTGTTGAAGTGACATGGTTTTACTGTTAAATTTTACTCGGAATGCATAGAATATTTTTTATAAAACACCTGGGAGATGATCATAAAATAACTTATAAGCTGTATGACCATGTATATTAACCAACGGGGAAAAAAATTTCACTCTTAAGAATGTTTTTCCTATTATTCTGATCAAAAGACAAAAAAGTGGACTTTTTTTGAAAATGACCCTAACAATGTTTTTCGCACAAAGGGCAATAACTTTTAAAAGGGTTAATCTTAGGGGACAAGAATGAAATCTTTGAAACAGTTTTAAGAGTACATATTAATGATGCATAGACATTAAGCATGCGTTGAAAGACAAAAGATATATAAAAAGAGCTAATTTTCTCATTTTTGGAATGACTTTGACCTTTGACTTTTACATGAATTTTAAGGTCAAAGATCAATGAATCTTATGCAGTTGGTCCCATGTCTCTACGACTTGTCGTTTTGAAAATTTTTAATTATTTGTAAAATTCAAAAAGTTTCAGGGGCAATAACTCATTGAAGGGGTCACCGAATGCTTTCGCAATGAATAGATTGAAGAGTCCCCTTAATTACTTGAAGACATTGGTGAACGTTTCATACCGCTACGGTTTACGGTTCTGAGGAGTAGCGATAACAAGCATTTCTTGCAAAAGGGACAATTACTTCGAAAGGGGTCAAGGTTCATTTTCGCAGGGTGAACTGCAACAATCTTTTACAGAGTACATTCTTATGGACTATAAATCTTTTCCATAAATCTTCAAACAAAAAACATGCGGCAGAAAAATAATTAAAAAAAACTAGGAGACAAGTTGTTCACAGAACAATAAGAGGTCTTTCCACCTTTTTAAATTTCTTATAATTTTATATTTTACCTTTGAAATTTAATTTTAAGGGAAATGACTTGAAAGAAAGTGAAAAAAAAAAATTATGACCTTGACCTTTGACCTTGAAAAAAATTTCAAGGTCAAAAGGCAAGGGTCACATTACAATTAACCCCATGTCTCTTCGACTTATACTTTTGAAGTTATAAGGTTTAATAGTAAGTGCTTATGTGTTAAAGGGCAATAACTCATATAAGGGGTCATCAAATTCTTACGCAATGATACAATGAAGTTGTGTCTTAAGACGCTTCAAACATTAGTGCAGGTTTCGTGCCTCTACAGTTTACGGTTTTGGAGGAGTAGCGATAACAAAGTTTTTCGCACAAGGGGCAATAACTTTTGAGAGGGTCAATCTTCGGAGACAAGAATGAAATATTTAAAATAGTTTTGAGAGTACATATTGAACATGCAAAGACATAAAGTATATGTTGAAAGACAAAAGAGATATAAAAAGAGCTTAATTTCTCATTTTTGGAATGACCTTGACCTTTGACCTTGACAAAATATTCAAGGTCAAAGGTCAAGGGTCACAATGCAATTGACCCCTTGGATCTACCATTTATAGTTTTCAAGATATAAGGTTTCATATTAAGTATAAAGAAGTTAAAGGGCAATAACTCATATAAGGGGTCATCAGATTCTTTTGCACTCATACAGTGAAGTTAGGCCTAAAGACCCTTAAGACATTAGTGAAGGTTTGTCTCTACGGTCTACAGTTTCGGAGGAGTAGTGAAGTGAAGGTATATGCTATGGTATTCACAATTTTGAAAGAGGCTGGCACCATTGCTAATCATAACTATGGACTTAGCAATTGCTTTGTTTGGATCATTAGCCTCCTTAATAACCATACCCAGGGTAGGGTAACAAAAAAATGCATATCAACTAATCAGAAATATTCAGCAATAATCAAAAGTCCCCTACCACACATGAACCCCTGACCCTTGGTCAACACATTGCGCAATTTTTTATCAAAAATGTTTGATTAATACCAATGAGCAGATTTCAAACCATTCATTTTCAGTATATAATCAATATAGCCCCGCCCTAGTTCATCCCCTGACCCTGGGGCCATGAAATTCACAATTTTGGTAGAAGAACCCTTGCACATCATGTTAACTATATAGGTAGTTTGATCTGCTTGATGTACCCAGGAGTAGAGAAGAA